TGTCGGGAGAGTTTCTGGCTTGTCTGGAAACAGCAAGACTAATTGCCATGCGCTTCCGGTTTGAAACTGGCAGCAGACAACATCTTGAAAATGAGTCACTGCAGCTCACAAAGAAACTGTGGTTTTCTCCTCCCCAGGTTTATGTATTTGCTCCCTTTACAGTTTCCTTTGTAGTCTTCAGCCTTCTCCTCCCCCACTTTTTTTTTTTTTAGCTCCCCCCCAAACCCTAATTCCTCCCCTTCACCCACCCCCCTTGGCGCATTTTGATACTTTAAATTTTTTGGCTGATGAAAAAGAGAGAGAGACAGAAAGGGAGAGAAAGTGGAGAGTTGTTTTTGGATCTGGCTTTGCTGAAGGTTTAGAGGGACTCTGATGCTGCAGGGGGAAAAAGTTCCCTGAATTTTCCACTGGCTGCAGGAAGAGAGCCCATTTAGTCATGGCTAAGCAATGTCTGCACACACACCAACTAATCTCATTAGGAGTTTCCGTTCCCTAACACAGGAGGGTTTTGTGAAGCCCGGTCAGCCTTTCTACCAGAGCAGTTGAAAGGGAGACAAGTTACATCTTTATTGACTTGGGGGTGTGGGGCTAAGGGGCGTCTGTACCACGCAGCATCTTTTCTGTTGTGAAGGCTTCGACCTTGGGGGTGGAAGGGGGGCAACGCTTTCTATTGGATTTCCAAACCAAAGGTTTAGCTTATCTAATGTGTTGCAAAGTCATCATTGGTTTCAGACATTTAAGCTCGAATGTAATTGAGGCATAAGTAGTTTTCCAAAGGGATATTCCAGAGGTTGCACTGGACTAAATGTGCCCCAGATGACTCTCAGGATCATGTGCAATTGTAAAATTGGTTTTCGGTCAAAATGGCACTCTTGCTGATACCTGCCATGATACTGCGGTGGTAGGTGCATTCACATAGCACAGGGGGTGTTATATGGCAACGTGTAGTATTGTCCTTTTATATCATTAATTTACAAACAGTATTAAATCCATGCATATGCTTTTCAGCCTGTGTGACTTGGGGAATGACATTAGCACCATCACTATTATTCTTATAATAGAGGCCATGCGAAAGCGGTGCTATTCAGAATGGGGACCACATTGCATAGGCAGAAAGATATTCTCCAAGTTCCAAAAAGCTTAGGTTACATTATAATTGCAAGTAGCAGGTTCTACAAAGGGAGCATGGAGGAGACAAAGAACACATCTTGCTATACAAGTGCTTCCTGACTTTTAAGAAGTATCCCAAACCATTGACCAAATATTGTGCAGTGCGTGAGATGGAAAACTGATGGGTTATAATATAAATGTGGTAATTACAAGTTTTCTCATCTGACATCCTTTAGTTAGTAAATCCCATACAAAAGGCATGGAATGTCTTGAATGTCAGAATTCATAACTGTATAGCACATCTTTTTGAGATGATCCATACGACTTCCTTTATTTTCTGTGTTCTGTTACATTTTTCAGTACAGAAATGTTTTTGATTCATGCTACCTTATGAGGCAACTTTTTGGTGGTTTAGTACCCACTAGAGCCAGATTATTTTATGTATGGGAATACAAAGCTTTAGAAACAATGCACCAAATACAGGAAATACCTGATCACTGATCTTCCATCAGACATGATTTTTAGGCAGTAAAAGTTATTTTCCTCTTCAGAGAGTTTGCCCTTCTATAAAAACACAACTTTTCAAAAGACAAATGTGAAATGTCCCCAAATGTGTTGGGCATTAACTAAAAAGATCAAACTATAATTCATGTAACATGCAAAATGATAGTTAACACTAAGCATTACCTCTGTGTGAAATGTGCACTTTATAAGTTACCTATTACATTAAGTATTATTGGAGTTCCAAAATCACATCTGTTGAATCACTACAGGCTACACATATGTAAAATATATGTGCACTATATAAATTTTAATTCAGAATAAGTAAAACCATCGTGATATCCTCATAATGATATATTGCTATTTCACATACATCATTTGTATGTTCTAAACACTTGAAAGATTCAATAAAAGACAATCCATAAGTGTGTTAAAATAGTATTCATCCACTCAAGTATTAGGAGGAAAAGTTCACATTTTATTTTCTTCAACTCTTGAATGATGTAATTCCCCCTAAATTACAAAATGTCTTTAAAATGTTTGCTTGTATTATAAAGATTACTGCATGCCTTAAATCTTTTGATTATAAATTTAAAACATTTGAGAAAAAAATATCATTGGTTATTTAATGCATTTGATATTAGCCTCACATTTATAGTGTCAAAGTTGCATGCATTTTATTTTCTTCTCATTATATCTATAAATAGAAACAGTTCCATGAGTTGTACAAGGTAAAGAAAAAACTTGCCTCCTGTGGAAATCATGTACCCTTTTGATATCACAGAATCCAGTCACTTACTGACACAAAAACAGAAACTTAAAAATATGCAAACTTCTTATTAATAGGTTGAAAAACACAACACACATGGACTTTTAATTTTTCATATCCTTTTATCTCAGGACAACATCCATTTTCCTTTTTCTCATTAAAGTAACATACTACTTACCAATTCATAATCATTCTTTTTTCTCTAGTCACTTGATGGTATTTAAAATAGACTAAGCACTTCACTCCAAAGACTGGAGGGTTCTCTCTTTTTATCCAGTTGTTCTGATTGTGTCAGCTGTACCCTCTCTGTATTGCCAGTCTTGGAAAGTGCTAACCTGGGAAACATATGACAGAGGCATTGTTATAGGAGGGTAATAAGGATCAACACATTCAACATGGCAGACACTGAAGTACAACAGAATTTAAATGTTTCATGTTGTAACAATCATTACAGAACAAAAGCATTAATTTGATTGACAAATGTATGGAACCTCCAGTTTTATGAAGCACTATAAGCACCCATGTGATGTATGACGCATAGGGAAGCCAAGTGATGCAAGATGCATGAACAATATGAGTGCGGAGTCTTAGTTTTTGGGACATGTATTTGCCATGATGCCGTATCAGTTTCAGGAGCCTAAAATATAAGACTTGTCTAAAAAAAGGGGAATTGTGGTATTTGTTAGAGGAGGCCAAATGTACAGTTATCTGTAAAACTTGTTACCTCCAAAAAGTGTAATTATTAAAAAGTTTCTACCCCTCCCATGATCATCAAGTAGTACAACGGCAATTTAAAAAAAAACAAATTTGGACTGATCACACATCAACAGCCTTCCTCAGGGGCTCTTAGTTCAAGTCTATATTCTGTCTGAATATTAACAGACTGTTGCTTGTGCGATTTTAAAAGCATGCTGTGCTGAAAATCTAACTGCTGGTTTATTGTGTGGATTTTTTTCCTCAACATTTTCCACAATAGGGAATCTTATAGTCCTGAATCATTAGACAGATGTTTACTTGGTCTGTGGCTTGCTAAATGAATCAACTAATATTCTGGAGACTGTTGAAAGCTCTTGAAGTACTGAATATATCTGTTCTCATGTTGAACTATTTTGTTGAATTATGTATGATTTAAGAATTAGTCATAATCTGCAGCAGAATTTCAAGATGTAGTAACAGGAAGTCCAGCTCACTACACATCAAAATAAAATGCTAAATGTATGCAAAAAAACCCAGCTGAAACATGCAGAATACCTTGTACATGCACTTGAAAAGAAAACACATTCTTCACTTCACAGCTGCCTTCTTACAGCATTACTTAAATGGTTATATTTGGATAGTTATATTTAATGGCAACTACATTGGAAGTCAAGTTTTTAAAGGATTTACTTGTAAGAGTAGTTTTTAGTTGAAAATTGTTTTCAGAAAGTACTGCATTGCATTTCTAAGTGCACCATAGAAACAAAAAGCCCATCAACAAGCAATGAATATGATTGTATCACTGACCCCATAAATATTGGTTAATTCAGTATAAATGAATACCCATGAGTGCATACCCATGTATGTCCTTCTGGTGAAGTTTTTATTTTAAAATTAGAATGGTGTGCTGAAGCCTACCCTAATTGGTGGTCTGTTCCATTATTTTGAGATGGCCATGATCTCTCAGCCTCTTATATATGGCATATTTTAAACATAATTTATGTACATATACCACAGTAGGCCAAGTTTACTTGAACACAAGCAAGTTAAACTCCCTAGAAGTAATTTTTATGGACTCCTATAGCATCATGCTTGTTAATACCACTTTTACTTTTGGCCCATTTGCTCTTAGGATGCTGCTGCAGTCTGCTTTCTCATGACATATCTACAGAATGGCATCTGTGCACTTTAAAGCAGTGGAAACCACGTGGAAAAGAGTTAATTAAGGATTGCCATGATACCACATTCTGAACATGTATGGATTGGTATGGCTCAGGGTCTGCTGAAGATGTGGGAGAAAGAATCCTGTTGCAGGCCACAAATTGCTGTGCAACTAATCTCTGACTCTGTCAAGCGCTTAAGTGCTCACTTAATTTTCAGCATGTAATTATTCCTGCTAGGGCACGTCTACACATGCAATTCATGCGACTGAATATACTCTGGCTTAATTTGAGCTGGAGTAAAGTA